CGGCGCGCCGGTTCACAAGGCCCAGCGCGCAATTTCACAAGGCCCGGCGTAGGCGCCGGTTCACGCGCCATTTCACAAGGCCCGGCGCAGGGCCCGGCGCGCCGGTTCACAAGGCCCACCGCGCCGGTTCACAAGGCCCGGCGTAGGGCCCGGCGCGCCGGTTCACAAGGCCGCCGGCGCGCCGGGTCACGCAGTTGTGTGTGGCTGGGTGACAAGGCGTCCGGTCCCGCAATTGAGCGTGCGGGTCACAATGCCCGGCGAAGGAGGCAGTGTGCCGGGTGACTCGATTGCCTGCGTTGCAGGTCGCAGGGCTCAGGAAAAACAAAATGACCCCCCCTACATCGTTTGAAAAAAATCCCCCCGCTACGTCCCTTACACTAAGGCAGTGGGGATATTGATGCGTTCTGCAGAATGTGGATGATGCACAGGCCGAGGCCGCAGTGGATTGTGACAGATGCTCAAACCTCGCTGTGCTTTTGCAAGTTTGCTGAGTTTGCCAAGATGGTACGAATTGGCATGATGGTTGCGGCTCCCGAGGCTCATTGGCAGAATGGTGTAGCGGAAAGCCTGAGTAGGGTTACCAAGAATAGGACGCGGAAGCTTAGGTATGAGTTCCCTGATTTTGAACCTGCTACGATTGGAGCCATTGCCGCATACGCGAACAATCACGCCGCAAAGGTGAAAGGGTTTTCTCCAGTGCAGTGGGCCTACGGTGTGGATCCAGATAATTGGGACGGCGAGCAGGGCCCTGTATCGACCAACTGTGGAAGTCAGCTTGGGCCCGAGGAGTTTGTGAAGTTGCAAGCAAATCGAGAGAAGGATGCGAAGTCCATCGGAAAGCGAGAGCAGATGAGAATTAATTGGACAAGACTCGCGAATTCGTATTCGTCTACGAGACCGGCAACATTATATCAACCTGGAGATTTTGTTTGCATTTGGCGGACAGGAACTTTGAAAGCCAAGAAGAAGACCAAGGAGTTCAACCCAGAACCACAGTTCATTGGTCCTGGCAGAGTGGTTTTTGTGGAGCCTGCAATCAATCCAGATGTTCGGGCAGCAGTCATTTGGGTGCTTATGGGAGTTTCTGTATATCGGCACAGTCCGGAACAATTGCGCCTGGCAACAGATGTTGAAATCACGTCGGAAATGATTCGGAAGAACAAGTTGATGTCTGTTCCGAAAGCAGCTGGGACGACGCACGCAGAGGATGCGACACCGGATTTGATGTCTCCAGATGAGGGGCCTCGACAACAACCACAACAATCACGAAGTAGTGCGAAGTAGTGCAGACCGGAAGAGACAATCGAGATGGGATCAATTGGTATCAACGCGGCGAGGAGACGTGAAGGACTTTTCCACACATGATGAGTTTGCCGGGGAGATCAGAGCCTAGACTGGACTCTGGTCAATCACAACCGATGGTGATGAGCATTGAGGAGACAGATGCAACTGTTGTTGCAGAATCACCGGAACACACCTTGCAGAGACAAGAAGCAGAGACGGAGGAACTTAAGCAGGTGGTGCTAGCAGAATACAGAGCAGGACAGCAGCTGATTTTCATTCGCAAGAGACGTGCGTGATACCGAAGGCCATTTTGCATATTTCATTGAGTTTGACATTGACAACACAGAGGAGTTTACCCGGAATTCACTGATGCATGTAGAAGGTTCTGGAATCGGAAGGGACAGAAGTGAACTACACACGCTTGACTCCAGAAGATCAAAGACTCTTTGATGAGGCCATGGCGAAGGAAGTAGTTGAAGTTGTGAAGGGCAGTTCAAGACAAACAGGAACAGATCGAAGCGACAAATTCACCGGAGCGGCATATTCCTATGAGATGACTTTTAACCTGGAAACCTGTGGTACCACCAGAACCACCAGTACGTGGACAACCTACAGCACTGACAAAGGACGGACGACACAAAGCTAAGGCGCGAGCAGTGCTTATTGGGTATAAGCATCCGGATTGGGTGGCGAAGAATCCCGTGACGGAATCCCGTGACTGGAAAACTGGTAATGCAGACATCAAGTCCTACAATTTCCAGATCTGGGAAGTTTGCGTTATTACAAGCAGCAGCATTTGATATGCATACAGTAGAATGTGCGGATGCGAAATCAGCCTTCTTGCAGGCGGAGAACAAAGAAGAAAGGCGGAGACTGTGGACGCGCGCAGTGGCTGAGGTATCATTGGCCATGAACCTGTCAGTCGAAGAGTTGAAGCGAATTATGGGTGCGATGTATGGTTTGACAAATGCCCCAACAATTTTCTGGGCAGACGCGCGCACCCGATTGAAACGATTGGGCGCAGAGCAAATCCATTGGACAGATGTGTATGGACTTTTCGGAATAGCCAGCAACGAGTTTGTGGGAGAGTTGGAGCCCAACTGGACGATTTTCTGATATGTGGAGATGCGTCAGATTCACATTGGCTCAGCGTTCGGAAAGAGATCAAGAAGATGTATGATTGGTCACCTTGGAAGAAGGGCGATTTCAGAAAATCTGGATCCTGCATTACACAGCATTCGCGTGTCTCAGGAAGATTTTTGCAGCGGCGTAGCACCTGTGGAGATCGCTTCAGATCAGACTCAGACAGGATGACGACAACTGAAATATCGCAGCGCAGGGCACTTTTGATGAAGTGCCAGTGGCGAGCAATTCAGTCAGGGCCACAGTTTTGTGCACGAATTGGAATAGCAAATTCACGCATTTCCAAAGGCACAATTGCGTTATTGCGAGAAGCAAATTTGATAGCGCGAGAGATTCGGAAGACTGCAAGGGAAGATGTCATTTTCCATTTCCATTCTTTCAACTTTGGCAGATCCAAGAAGTATGAACACACGGACCTTGCATTTGTTCACTGGGGAGACGCGAGTCATAGTCGACCTGGCGGCGGACATACAGGCGGGTTCATCACTGGTTTGAGCACACCAGAGATCTTCTTGCATGGTAAAGTGCCATGACCTTGTTGGCTTCAGGAGTGTGTGTTATCAAAGCATCTGCCAGGTTCAGATCTGATCGTACCCATGTTGCATAGCAATTGCTCTCAGCATCCAAGCCTTCCGAAACTGCAATCATATCGACTGATGTCCTTGCATTCTCAACTGATGCTCCTGGAGTCCCTGTACACGTGAGTGCATCATAGCACCCCTTGGAATCCATGACCAGTAAACCCACATTCCTAGCCGCAATCCGTTTCGCCTTTTCTCGCTGCAAAACCGAACCGTACATGAGCTGCCACGTAATTCGCATCTTCCAGCCTTTGTCTTCACTCTCACAAATTGCCTGTCCTTCAGAGCTATTTGGTCCTGCTGAGGTCCTTCTCAACTTCCAACTCCGCCAATCCAACAGGCTCAGTGGTATGCTTCAACGAGAGTTTTGTATCTGCAAGAAAGGCACAGAAGGCGCGACGAGCGAAGGCAATGCAGGAAAAGGCTAAGGCCTACATCTTGCAGAATTACCTCTGAACTGGTCAGAAGATAGCTGGCTTGCGAGGTTTGGCGAGGACATCACGAAGTGATTTTTGTCCGACTTTTTCATTGATGTGCGCTTCAACTGGCATGTGTCGAGAGGGAATAGGATGAATGCATCTTTGAGAATTGCACAGTCGACCACGTGCCCTTTAGAATTGTGTGCGCGCTCTTGTGTGGATACCGCAGGGGCCCTTTGGGCCGGATCAGGCCCATGGAAAATCATTAGCGTCTCGGTGTGCGCTTTGCCATGTGTGTGTGATTCACTTGGGGGATTCATTTTGACCCTTCGGAAGCCCTGGACACACACACCGTACCATCGAACAACTATGCGTGGTTCTGGGTGCAGAGGTCTATGCTGCCCCAACCACCTCCACAACATCGAAGGCAAGCCACGTAAGGCACAAACCCCACCCTAATGGCCACCGTGGTTGGGGATTTACAAGCGCCCACAAGTAGAGCACCCACAAGCGCCCACAAGCCCAGCGAGCACCCACAAAAGCGCCCACAAGCACCCACAAGCCCAGCAGAAGCGCCCACAAGCCCAGCAAGAGCGCCCACAAGCGCCCACAACTCCAGCTTACACCTTTCCTGGCGGTACGCGGCCAGCGGGGCGAATCGCAGCCCTGGAACTCTTGGGCTCCGTGCTACTCTTCATGTTCGCAGCAGACAAGGTGAGTACCGACCGCCTCGAAGTACACATCCCGCTCCGGACCAACAATGAAGGCAACTCCTATGCTGCTTCGAAGCGCTCCGCGAAGAAGTGGCCGTGCTCGGCTGTACTGATGGAGTTATCGGCCCAGGAACAGAAGCAATCGGTCTTTGCATCTCTCCACAATGTCAAGATATGCTCCAAAGTCTGCTTCGCTTGGTTTTGAGCTACAAAAGCGGATCTTTGCCTGATGGCTTCACTCCAAGATGGATGCTGCTCCCGGATTTGCTCTCTCAGGAGACGTCCAGGTAGGACGTTTTCAGGATGGTTCGGGACCACCGTCCGTGGGTCACGAGTTGGTGCCCTGGCCTGGTGACTTGGCTGCCCTTCTTGGACAAGGCTTCTGATCGGGGGCTGCGGTGGTTCACCGCTCCTCTGGAGGCTCGGGTTACGGATTGAAATTGACATGACGCCCTATGGGCTGTCCTTCCCTGTTTTCGTCCGACGGAGTCCAGGTAGCCCGGACAAATGTTCTAAATCGATGTAACACGGAAACGGGGACACACGCAGACAGGGTATGAAACCCTCATTTCTGCTGGGGGCCGGCAGAAAGCAGACCCAGCCGGTGACTGGGTTCGCTGCACTGCCTGCCTTCAGTTTTGGAATGTTTTTTTCACCTACTCGGCCTCGGTTTGGAATGCTGTATCCACCTACTCGGCCTCGGGGAAAAAGATATTGCTGCGTGCGAAGTGGACTGCGCTTAGACAAAATTGGAAAGATACGCCACTCTTTAGTTTGTAGTTTCGATTTGTTCAAATCCCACCCATCCAAACCAGCTAATGTTGACGGGGGGTGGCCCCAAAGCGAGAACTATCTGGCAGGTGATATCTGGCCACAGCAATGTGGTGTCTGGCTGCGCGCTCGCTTTTCCGGAAGACCAGGGCTTGTACGCCGTGTCCTGCTCCTGGGATCGGAGCTGGTGTCTTTGGCACCTGTCGTCGGAGGATGAGCAGCTCAAGCGGAAAACGGGAGGGGCGCCATTTCATATGTTTTCCTTGGCTTGTTTGGCCTTTGTGGAACCCGTGCCGGCCAAAGCGCCGCCTTGATGTCAACAAGAACCCCTATGGGTTTATTTTTGCTTTTTTTCCAGTAGGTTCCCAGCAAACACATGAATGTTGCGCGCTTTGGCTTGGTGGCTCCACGCCCCAGATACTGGGATCAACCTCCATTTGTGTTTACCGCAGATTTCGGAGCTTGATAAAGCGGATGTGTCAAATTTTTGGGTTGGGACCATTCTAGTGGTAAATGCAAAGTTCAGACTTTTTCTGTTGAGCTAAGTGTTCCCTGTTCCCTTTTCCACCGATTGCCCTACAGAGGTTGCAGGTGTCACCGCGCGAGCCTCGTAAGGAAGCTCCTAAAGAAGCAGAAGCGGAATTACCAGGTAGGGCCCCACAGTGTGTTGCGTCGCTGTTGCTTGTGTTGTTGCTTGTTCCCCCACATCCTTGTGTCGGGTTCCTACTTTTACCCCACTCACTCACTCACTCACTCACTCACTCACTCAATCACTCAATCACTCACTCACTCACTCACTCACTCACTCACTCACTCACTCACTCACTCACTCACTCACTCACTCACTGGGCGCGTTGGAGATGGCACAGAGGTCCGGCAGGTGCAGGATTTTCGCCTCTGGGTGTCCGTGTGCTTTGCAGGGGCAATATATGGCAGCTATTTGAAGGGACTGGAATGTTGTCGGGCACGCGGCCAGGAGGCTCAATTTCAGTATGTTCTGCATTTGGGTGCGCGCACACACACACACCACACTGCGCCTGCCACGAAATGTGCATGCCATCTTCAACATGCCGCGCCTGTCACGCAAATCGAGCAGTCCCTTTAGACAGCTGCCATATTATTGTCCCTGCCACACAAACACACCCTCAAATGCGGAAAATACTGCGCCTGCCACGAAATCTGCGTTCCATCTTCAAAGTGCTGCGCCTGCCACGCAAATTGAGCCCCGGGCCCGTCTTCAAAGAGCTGCGCCTGTCACGCACATTGAGCCTCCTGGCGTGCTCGACAACATCCTGTCCCTTTAGACAGCTGCCATGCGGAAAATACAGCCCCTGCCACGCAATCCATGCGCCATCTCAAAGTGCTGCACCTGTCCCGGGCCGCGGGCTCGATGACATCCAGTCCCTTCTGTCAAATGTTGCCCCTGCCACGATATACACACCCAGATGCAGCAAGTACCGCGCCTGCCACGAAATCTGTGCACCACGTGCTGCGCCTGTCACGCCAATAGAGCCTCCGGGCCGCACTCGACAGCATCCAGCCTTTTCGCCAAGTGCCGCCCGTGCCACGCGAACACAGCAAGAATGTGGCAGCTGTCTAAAGGAGCAGCTGTCTAAAGAAATTGGATGTTACCAAGCGCACCGCTGAATTTGCCTGACAGGCGCAGAAATGAGGAAACCGCCGGATTCAAAGACCATGTCCTGATTTGGCCCTTGTGGAAGGCCCAGTTGTGAGCGGTCAAAACTTGAGAACTTGTCTCCGGCCAGTTCAACGCGGTGTGTTGGTCCCCGGACTTTCGGCAGATCTTCACCGCGAGTAACAAGGAGGCGGGCGATTGCCTTTTCAGGGTTTATTGGCTGATTTTCAAGGCACACCTAAAGCTAAAGCAAATCAACCCTTTCTATTGTACTTGTTTTGGGGTGACTCCTGAAGAAAAAGAAAACTATATTTACACGCTGACGCGACACAGCCGGCCACCGGGCACCTTGCCCTTCCCGTTCTTTCATTTCCTTTTCCTTTAATTCCCGCTAGTTCCCGGGATTTTGAACTTCACTTCCTTTGCATGTTATTCCCTGCATGTCCGACAGTTTCCTGGCGTTTCCCGTCACTTCCCTTCGCTTCATTTCGTTCCAGGTCCCTTCATTTCCTTGAACGCCCCTTCATTCGCATTCCTTTCCCTTAGTTCTTTTTAGTTCCCGTGACTTCAACCTCAGTTTCCCGCACATCCCTTCATTTCTCTTCAGTTTCTCCGTTTCAGCCCTTGTTTCACATCGCCAGCATGCATAGCATCATCCGCATCATCCGGATGATGCTGGCAATGCTGGGGTGTTGTCCAGTATTATAGGCACCCCCCAAAAACGCTCGTTTTTGGACGCCGCGGGGGGGGGGGGGGTGGTACAAAAGTCGCCCGAAACCTTCGCCCCTTATAAGGGCGGGCCCAGCGCAAAACGTATGCTCATGTTCTGCTCATGGTCGGCGGCATGGGGCGGACGGCCTTATACCTGAAGGTAAGCTAGCAGTGAGGCCCGAAACGCACGGATTGGCAACGGGAGCCACGGGAGGCCCACAACAAGGCCCGAAACGCACGGATACTGCAAAGGGGGGCACTAGCAGGCCAGCGCCGGAGCGCCAAGGAAGCCCGCGGCGCAGTGGTTCGAGCACGCGGCTTTTGTGCAAAGGTCCGCGGCTCGAGCCTGGGCCGCAAGCAGCAGGAGCGCACTCGCCCGTTGCTGTTTCGGGCCGCCGGCCGGCGAGAGCGCAAAACTGCAACAGGAGGCCCACAACAAGGCCCGAAACGCACGGATTCGCAACGGGAGCCGCCCAAAAATGCTGATTTGGTGCTCCGGAGCCTCGTTCGGGCTCTCTTTGCTGTTCTTGGGTTGCGGGCGCCCGAAACCGCAACGGGAAAGAAGGCAACGGGAGAGCGTCTCTTGTTTCGGGCGAATCCGTGCGTTTCGGGCCTGAAACGCACGGATTCGCAGCGGGATTTGGTGCGTTTCGGCCTCGTTCGGGCTCTCCCGTTGCGGTTTCGGGCGCCCGCGGCCCAAGAATAGCAAAGCGGGACACTGGCTGGCCAGCGCCGGAGCGCCCAGGGAGCCCGCAGCGCAGTGGTTCGAGCACGCGGCTTTTGCGCAAAGGTCCAGCCTGGGCCGCCCCACGCCTGGAGAAGCAGCAGGAGCGCACGGGTGCCGCCGTCAAGCGCTGATTTGGTGCTCTGGAGCCTCGTTCGGGCTTTCTGGCGGGAGCGCAAAACTGCAACTGGAGGCTCACAACGAGGCCCGAAACGCACGGATTCGCGACGGGAGCCGCCCAAAAGCGCTGATTTGGTGCTCCGGAGGGTTGCCGTTGTGGGCCGTCGGCCGGCAAGCGCGCCGAGACCGGAAACACGCAGATTCGAAAAGTGCTGATTCGGTGCTCCGCTGCCGTTTTGGGCCGTTGGCCGGCAAGAGGCCCACAACGAGGCCCGACACGCACGGATTAGCAACGGGAGCCGCCCAAAAGTGCGCTCTGGAGCCTCGTTCGGGGGGAGGCCCGCAACGAGGCCCGAAGCGCACGGATTCGCAACGCGGCCTCGTTCGTTGCCAAAACTGCAACGGGAGGCCCACAACGAGGCCTCGTTGCGGGCCTCCCGTTGCAGTTTTCGGCTCTTGCCGCCCGAGCGAGGCTCAAGAGCGCCAAATCAGCGCTTACGGCGGCACCCGTTGCGAATCCACGCCGCAGCAACAAAACCTCGCGATCTCTTGCGCTTCCGTCACTTCCTGCCCCATTGCGCATTGCATTCACTTCTCTCTCGCACAATGCTTTCGTTCCCGCCTCGCTCAAGTGATGGATGATGAGGATGATGCTGATGATGAGGATGCTGATGATATGGATGATGGCAGGTTCTGTATCCTGTGCAGACGTAACATTGTTTTAGACACTTGCAGGACGATGCTGTCGAAGGCTGGCGATCCTTTTTTCCAAATTTTCGAATACCAAAAAGGCAGCTCCAGCATCCCCAGCCGGCGAAGCTGGGGATGCCTTCTTTGTCACGACATTCGAAGACCAAAAAGGCAGCTCCTGCATCCCCAACATGCAAAGCATCACCCCGGGCACCTGCAGGATGATGCTGGTGAAGCGGGGGATCCTGTTCCGGCTGCTGTACCGGCGCGGGAGCGATCTCCGCGACCACGACCAATTCATGTAGGGTCCGGTGATGTTGATATGCAGTCTGTGCTGGCTGCATTCGTTGAAGAGTTGTCAGACGAACGTGTTGAATTAAAATGTATCAATGGTCTTGCTTTGGATACTTTGCTCCGGTTGAAGCTGCTTATGCGTTGTTTGCATACCAGTCATGAGCAATTTGTTCCTGGTCGTTGTTTTGTTCCATATCGCATTGCGGTGAAGCACAAACCACAATTATCGCCGGGCATTGAGCTCGCGCTGGTTGCCCATGATGGCAGTGTGCTTCGCGCTCCGTTGCATGTCTCGCTTCCTGGTATGAGAACTCGCACAATCGTCACCTTGTATAGCGTTGACTTGTCCCGACCCATTGTGCTGTTGGCATGTTCCGAGCCTCGCAACTGGTTCACTACCCTTGCCCGGCATAAGGGGCCTCAGGTCGTGACCGTTACTTTGGTCGATGACTTAATGAGCGAGTACGGGGGGAGAATCGCTAGACATGTGCTCACTAAATCTTCCGATTTGTTGTTCTTCGCCGGGCCTTGCACGGGGGGATCATCATGGGCACGCCTCAACAAGACTCGCGGAATTGACACCGCAGAGAAAATCGAGGCCAAACAAAAGGAATTTTGGAAGTTATTTGGACGTTTTGTGGAAATCAAACGACATGCCATGACGAAACATGCCGCTATTCTGTTTGAGTTGCCCGGAAGTTGCGATTATTGGAAGGATGAGAGACTGCATGAGGTTGTTCATGATGGCACCAGTCATGAATTTGATGGGTGTCGCTACGGATTGAAGCAAAGGTACGCGAAGAAACCTCTGCCAATCAAGAAACCGTGGAGAGTTGTTTCCTGGAACTTTGAGCTTGGAAGTTCGTTGTCTAAGAAATGTAACGGGAACCATGAACATGGACCTTGTGCTGGTCGGGAAACTAAAGAAACCCAGTTATACACGTCATTGATTGTGAGTGTGATCCTCCGGCGTTTTCTTGCTCGAGCGAAGTGCCTTCAACGGGCGCGATTGAAACCCGCTCTCGCTTGCATAGTGAGGGGAAATCCACTGCGGCGACAGACTGCTGCACGTGAGAATCACACCACTTCGACTGTACCGACAAGGTTCCGGGCCAGACCCGAACCTCAGGTTGCAGCTGGGTTCTATATATTGCTGCCTATTTTGGGCTTTCCTGGTCCTGGAGAATATCATCAAGATGACTGCCAATGCGACCGTCGTCAATACAAATGAATTCTTCTGTGTGCCTGTCGGGAAATCCAGACAAGCAGCGATATTCCTGGGGAACCTCGTAAAGAACGCTGTTGAAGAGGGCAAAAGAATTCCCAGGAGAATGGAGACGAGCAGTGATCTGGGTACATGCATAAAATGGGTCGAGGACATTGGCGTCCCCGTCATATATGCTTACTCAGCGTATTACTCTGCGAAATGCCGCGGCATGATGAAAGGTGAAGGGCAATCCATGAGGGTCGCGTTGGAGTTCCTCAGCAAGATCTGCGGGCTACTTTCTGCCGATGAATGCATGCTAGGATGGAGAGTGTTCTGCAGTAAGGGAAAGAAGATAGTGGCAGCACTGAACCAACTCTGTGCGGAGGCTTCGCTACTAGCAAAGAACCCTGAGCTGCTGAGCGTCACCAAGTACTGCATCGAAGGGGCCGACATGCTGAGATCCATTGCGGATATCTGGGACCTCGCTTCAGGTGTGGCCGAAGACAATGAGGAGCGATCCTTTACAGCCGCATTTCACCAAGATACTCAGGTAGGGGCTGTGTACAAGGACTTTATCAGTGATGAGCCGACTAGGGCGTCATCATCGAGGCGGTGGAGGAGTTCAGAGGAATTCATGACAACCGCCGACCTCAAAAGGCCGATCGAAGAATTGCGAAGTTCAGAGATCGGAATTGGGGGAAAGTGTTTACGCTGAGCGTAATCAAACCTCCCAAAGTCGACCCCTACGAGCGGAGCACAAAGAACGACTACCAGAGGAACTGGGACCTTGGGTTGGTCTACCAGAAGGAGCTGCGCATGTCAATGAAGAAACTGGCGTTTGCAATGAGGAGAGATGAGCGCGCTCACCAGCATAATCTTTTACGCTGGATGATTTGCGGATCAATTCCCAATGACATCTCAGATGCATGCATCGGGGCGGTGAACTCACTTATGTGTGTATCCTTCATCCTGAGGAGGTTGCAGCCATTGGTCGGAGAGAAGAATGTTTCGGATCAGTCGTACAAAGTCTGCTTTCGACCGGACAAAAGTCTGAGTTGAAGGACCTGTACAGGGAGATCGAGACAGCAAGGGATTTCTTGTGGTGAATCGAGATGATCTACAAGTCCACGCTGCCCGCGATGAACATCAACTCCATCAGCTTAGCGCCACATGCGGCCGACAGGGCTGCTGAGAACCAAGATCGGCGCAAGTGGGTCAATTGGCTGAAGGAAATTGAGAGTGAGGCAGTAATTATAATGGGGCATGTGATTGACTTCGACCAGAACGACTACTGCACCTACAACGAGAAGGAAAGGGAACTGGAAAGGTACCCTGAGGACTTCGCAGACGGCAAGGAACCAACATGGTGGGTGATGGGCTCGTCGAAGACTGAGCCACCGCAGAAGACAGAGCGACAGCAGAAATCGTCATCCAGTTCTGGGCA